AGATATATAATTGTCACGGGGCGTGCGTGTATCGCTTAAGGTTGGCCTTGGCGTATATTCCTGTACAAAGAGGGCAAGTTCCCGAGGGTACAAAGAGGGCATTCTCATGTACAAAGAAGATAGGCTTATGTACAAAGAAGACATGCTCATGTACAAAGAAGACATGCTCATGTACAAAGAAGACATGCTCATGTACAAAGAAGACATGCTCATGTACAAAGAAGACATGCTCATGTACAAAGAAGACATGCTCATGTACAAAGAAGACATGCTCATGTACAAAGAAGCATACTCATGTACAAAGAAGGTATGCTCATGTACAAAGAAGACTACTCATGTACAAAGAGGACATCCTCATGTACAAAGAAGGTATGCTCATGTACAAAGAAGACTACTCATGTACAAAGAGGACATCCTCATGTACAAAGAGGGCATGCTCATGTACAAAGAAGGCATGCTCATGTACAAAGAAGACATGCTCATGTACAAAGAGCGCTTGTCCATGTACAAAGAACGCATGCTCATGTACAAAGAAGACATGCTCATGTACAAAGAGGGCATGCTCATGTACAAAGAACGCATGTTCATGTACAAAGAGGGCATGCTCATGTACAAAGAACGCATGTTCATGTACAAAGAGGGCATGCTCATGTACAAAGAAGGCATGTTCATGTACAAAGAGCGCATGTTCATGAACAAAGAGCGCATGTCCATGTACAAAGAACGCATGTTCATGTACAAAAAGCTCATGTTCATGAAAAAAGAAGGAATGTTCATGTAGAAAGAGCGCATGTGAGTGAATGAGTTGAGTTTAACGCCGCTTTTAACAGTATTCCAGTTATATCCCAGCGTGTCAGCTTAATGTGGGAGGAGAGCCCGAAGTGATGTAGGTCCCAGACGTTTACCCTTTCGGTAAAACCCACGAACACGGGTAAGGTGCTAACGAACCTAGAAACATAATCGGAGAGAACCGGGATTCGAACCCACAAACATAGGTTTCTGGCGTACCCAGGGGACGCATCTCTGCACAGCGAATCGCGGCGCCTTAGACGACTGGGCCACCCGCGTCCCCAAAGACCGCATGTTCATGTACAAAGAAGGCATGTCCATGTTCATGTATTATGCGGGCGTGTTCATGTGCAAAACGCGCATCTTCATGTACAAAGAGGGCGTGTTCCAGAACAAGGAACCTGTGAAGATCTAGGTTATAATAGGTGTTCAGCCACCAATACTTTCATAAGAGGCAACAAATAGGATCTGGTGGTCAGGCTCGCTGACTTGGTTGATGTATGTCATCCAAACTGCGTAGATCGAGGCTCATTATGTCTGTCACTGGATTGTCTGCTCCGGATACGTGTACAAGTATATCTGACACGTGATGGTCATGTGGTCATGTGAATAACGCAAATCGTGTTGGAGTATCCGGTGACCCAATGGTCTAAGGCGCTACTTTTCACTGTGTCATCGTATCCCAATTGGGTAGATCGATGCTCATGACGTCAATCACCGGATTGTCTTATCCAGACTCGATTATTTACAGACCGCCGTCATATTACTGGAATATTGCTGAGTGCGGCGTTAAACAACAATCAACATCCACATACTGTACAAAAATGGCATGTCCGTGTACAAATAGTGCATACTCATGCACCAAGAGCAAACGTTATACAATCCGCGGCCGTGTCCCCTTTAGTTATCGTTATTAATGAAAACATTTAAGATTCGGATATTTTGACATGTTTCGTGACTAGGGGTTTTTCAGAACCTTCTCAATAATTTTAGCGACCAACTGTCTCTTTTCATACAAATTTGATTTGAATTATGAGCCATGCGGTCCCATGCACAAACCTCCCTGATTGCCCATTTACTGTCCATTATATTTATGCAGGGAATACCTCATAATGCTGTGGCTCGGAAATATAATGAATTCTGGCGTCTGCTGTCCACATTGGGCGTCCTTCACACGACGTCATAACGTGAAAACTGACGGAATTATAATAATGTGACATGCGATACCACCAAGATGGTCTGGATATCTTCAAGGACAATATGCGTCACTTAGAGTAAAGAAATGAAACGGAGCCCTTAATGTTATTAGAATGGGAAAATAAGATCCTGTTGGTAATATTTATGAAGCACTGTGTGATCGAATATCAAAATCCCCACTGAACTTCTGTTCAGTGTTACGTTTGACAAGACAGTTATGTAGTGGGTAGATACGTTATTCGATTCAGCACATATATGAGTGACTAGAGCTTGGATGGTGTGATGAACGTGATCCTTGGAATGTGGGTTGACACATTTACCTCTCTCGTGTAATGTACATTAAACTGCGGTTATAACGAACTCAAAGGGCCCACTTATTTTGGTTCGTTATAACCGTAGTTCGTTATAAGCATGTATCCAGCGGATATACAACAAATGAACGGGACCAAAAATATACAGTTCGTTATATCCGTCAGTTAGTTATAAGCATGTTCGTTATAACCGTAGTTTACTGTATAACAATTTAATGTGCACTACAATGTTCCCATACCAATGAAGACAATTCATTGTAACCCCAGTAGTAAGGATATTACGTCTCGTATATACTAATGCCTCAAGTATATACGCATATGTGTGTGTCTAAAATGGGCTTCACACATATTACTAATTTGGGGAATCGAACCCGGAACGTCAGAGCGTTTTAAACACCACCCCTTATCAGGTTCAGCTAAATATGGAGGACATATAATTGTCAGTCAAGAAGTATCCTGATGGCGATTGTTATTATCTCACGAATTACATCTTTCTCAAAGAACATTCCACGTCCCCATGAGCCATGTTTTTAGAATACGTCTCCATCAGTATATGCTGGTCGTTAGAGGCGACTAAATGAACTTGGGGCCAGGCTCGCTGACTTGGTTGAATGCATGTAATCAAACCCTGATCTCCTGGATCGATGCTTAGTATCAATCACTGGATTTGTCTGGTCCAGACTGAAATGCAGCCAGCCGTCATATACATGCAGCTAGAATATTGCTGAATGCGGCGTTTAATAACAAAACAAACACAAACATGAACCTATGGTTTCAGAAGGATCTTCAGCTAACATCATGATATGTAGGAGCATGTGAACAGGCTGTGTCATTCAGGTAATCCTTCTGCCCCAATGCATCTAGAATGGCGTCTACCATAACACCGCAACTTAACCTCTGGGGACTTGGAAACCCAATACTGTTGAGGTATGGTATCTCTCAAATCTACTCACTGGCATTTTATTGGCAACCACGAACGATGCGTGTCGGGAGGGTCTGGGTCAAATAGAAAGATCTCCAACCATTGCCAGCTATTGGCCACCTTGAATTGGAAGAGGCTCTTGAAGGGCAGAAGGCAGGGCTATGTTTCATCCTGTAAGAGACAAACGTTGTCCACGTCAAAGGCAATGAGGTTGCTGACAAGACGAGATTGATCTGTGTGACTTTATTGCTCGCAAACATTAACGGTTTCATCATTAGTTCCTTGTGCACATATCAGAAGTCATGAATCCTTGTCAAACCGATAGGGAGACGTGACAGTTCGTCTTGTTCTAGAAATCGATTCAGGACCTCACCACACTTCTTCACGGAAAATTTCCCATCCCATGTTGCAATATCTTCTCAAAGAAGTCAAATATTTGTCAGACTCTCTCCGAGAAGACTTCCTCATTCCTTTGACTTGAATACAGCTGCTATTGGAATATTCTGGTTTCCAGATGGGCCTCTTACCAGTTGTGCTTCCTTCAGGTTGTCATATTCTGTCAACATTGAAGGTTAGGAATCAAAGCGAGCCTAAGCCTATCGCATTTGTTTGAATGTTTTATGAAACGTAACCGAAGTTTTAAAAGCACATTTCGCCTTTCACGCCGAAGGCCCGAGTTAGATTCCACACAATGTGTGAAGCTCTGTGTCAGTTGTCGTGACATTGCTTCAATATTTGCTAATAGTGGCGTAAATCCATACTCTGTCACTCTGAAAGCACAAATCAAACTCAAAATGCATGGCTATGAAGAAGACTTTACGTAACTAAAAGAAGGTAGCATCCTCATTATAAATAAACTGAAACATCAACGGGGCCCTGCAATAGATTCAGGATATTATGTTGAGACAGCAAGACGATTTGCTGAGCCTAATATAAAGTTTGCCCCTTAACGACGATTTGCACATTATATCACGTGGCGTATGAAATATCTACGTGGCGTATGAAGGAAGTATAACGGCAGATCATAATTAGGGCGAATCTAGGAGTTGAGGCCTTGTGCGGAACCGTGACGACACCTAAGACAATGTGCCCCAATCCCCCTCCCACCCCCTACTCCATTGTATACAATGCTATAACGTCTGGCGTTTATTTAAAGGTGATAAGATTTGCAATAGATTCTATAAACTTCCTGTTTTCTTTTGTCCTTTTGGGAACACTTGCGAGTGGTTGAAATTGTGTACGAACGAAACTATGTTTCATTTAACTCATCTATCTTGACGTCAAATTTCTTGTGGATAGTAGTGAAACTTAACTGTCGAGCAAAAGAAATAATACACTTAGAAATTGTATTTGACCACAAAAATACCTTAAAAAAAGAAGCCGAAATACTACAGTCCTGAGGTTCAAAACACTGTAATAAAACCCGTAGCAAACACATCACCATCGAATAATGATTTCTTTTTTATTTCATATTAAGCCACCATCAAACATATGTGTATACGCCTTGTGTCCGGCAGTTTATAATAAATCATATTTGTCTCTCCGTCGATGGCGTGTGTGGCATTCACATTCCATAAAGAACTAGACCAAAATTTATGAATTGTTCCCTTTGGAAAACCGTATCACATACGTGTCCACAAATGGCCATCTATGACTGATTGGTGTACACAGGAGTGACCCTCTGTGACCCTCTCTGAAAAATGTTTCTTTGCTGACTGATGTTTGTCCGCAGAGGGGCCCTTGATGATAAATGTTCACGTGTTCGCTTATGTGTTACTCAGGTGTGATCCTTGACGATGCGTCCTCCGAGGTGCGAAGGGAAATACAGAAAGCTATTGACTTCAACAACCTCAACAACTCTCGCTCCCGTATCATCATCAACGCTTCATACAGCATCATCAACATCCGAGACAGTTACCAGCTTAGTGCCGCCAGTGAGTCTGTAATGCCAATGATTACAAATTCATTACTTTTTTGGCTGTTTCATTTTGTATTTTAAAAATTTATCATCTTGCGAGAAAACATTTCAACTTATACTCTGTGACATTAGCAGCGTGTAGTTGAAGATTGTCGTATCCCAGAACTTAATGCAGCCAAGGCACAGAGTAGAACGTCCCTAAGAATAGGAGCTTTGATGATTTCAATAACAATTAGTTGTTCCTGATTGAGATTCTTGACGTGAAGCTCGAATAATTTGTGAATGTTTTTATTTATTTGTCGTGTCGTTTTCATTTAATTTGAGACCGCCTCCGTGGTTTTGTGGTAGAGCGTCCGCCCGGAGAGCGGAAGGTCCAGGGTTAGATCCCGGGCCGCGTCATACAAAAAGACGTTAAAAGATTGTACTTGTTGTTACCCTGTCTGGCGCTCGGCATTAAGGGGCTAAAACAAGGACTGGTCGCCTCGGAGTCAGTATACTGTGTCTGAGTGGGGTATTCATGTTAAACTGCGGCATGGTATCTCAGTGAGCTAGCACTATAAATCGGCATCAGTCCGGACTAGTACAAGCAGCCACACACACACATACACGTGCATGCACGTCGCTATATAAGTGCAATAATCTTGGACGCGACGTTAAACCCAATTTCACCTCACCTCATTTAATTTGATCATGAAGTCCCTTTGTTCCTCATGGGTGATGGGAAAAGGTCCCTTGTACCACATTCTTGTTGGAGCCGAGCAAAATGTGGTTGAACTGGCTGTTTGTGTGACATCGTACTCTGATCACAAGGTTGACTGGTATAGGCTTCGTGGTGCCCACACGTGGCGACATCATTGCCAACAGTGGCGCAAAAAATCAGTCCCTCACATTCACATTATCACAAGTGACAGTGATAACAGAATGAATTATTTGATGATAATTGTGTATTAATAGTAAGACCCCCGTGACCATCCAGGTTAGAGTAAGTCTTAATCTTCAGCAACCCACTGTGAAGCGTTACAAAACAAACAAATACACAAATTTACAGAAAGAACACTTAATAGTCTGTTGGCATTATATCTCCTCTTCATAGATCATGTAGGTATTGCTTCAGCAATACACCAGGAAGGTTACCTTAATGCGTGTGCAAATATATGTTTACACATCTTCAGATATTTCTGAAAAAAGATTGTGTGATCCTCAATTATCATATCTCATAATGCACTGGAATCTGGGATTTTTGTATATGTAAATGATCTTTATTAACCAAGTTTAAAAATGAGGTGAGGTAAGGTGAAATGGGGTTTATTTCATTAATGCCGATTTATAGTGCTAGCCCACTGAGATGCCATGCCGCAGTTCAACATGAATACCCCACTCAGACACACTGTACTGACTCCGAGCCGACCAGTCCTTGTTTTAGCCCCTTAATGGCGAGCGCCAGACAGGGTAACAACAAGTACCCTCTTTTCACGTCTTTTAGTATGACGCGGCCCGGGATCTAACCCCGGACCTCCCGTTCTCCGGGCGGAGGTTCTACCACAAGACCACGAGGCGGTCTTTTAGAAATGAGGATCTTTAGGGCTTCTTGTAGGACATTCGAGAATATTGCTCGCTAGGCATAAACTCAATTCAGTTTTGCGGTGTTCCAAGTTTTGTTTGAGTCTATACATTTGACACATGTGCATTGGTGGCACAATTGTCGCCGGAATTGGCTGTGCAGAGTTGCGTCTCGTACATGTACCTACATTGCGGTTTCCCTAATTATGGTTCTAGGTTGGTCGGCACCATACCCGTGCTCGTTTCACCAAAGTGGCAAACCTCAAAGACCTGCATCACTTGTTCAAGACAGCGTTAAACCCAACTAACTCACGATCCTACAAACTCAGATTCTTAGCGGGGCGGTGGGGTAGCCAAGTGGTAAAAGCGTTCGCTCGTCACGCCGAAGACCCGGGTTCGATTCCCCACATGGGTACAATTCATGTCAGGTGTCCCCCGCCGTGATATTGATGGAATATTGCTAAAAGCGGTGTAAAACCATATGCACTCACTCATAGTCATTGCGTTAAACCGCACTCACTCATATGGATTATAAATGGGAAAAGACAGCCTCGTTGTGTATATTAACTCATAGCTGTTCGACCCATCTTCACTACTGTCAATAATTTAATACAAGTGATGGACCAAAACGTGTTTTACTCCAGATAACATATCATTAAAACTTTACACATTAAGATACATGGGTTTCTTGGACGTGTTACGAGAAGGTTTCAGCGGTTCCTTGAGTTATGACTTAATCTCTCCTCTCGAAGAATATTATTTGATAAATTCAATGGTTCAAGTGTTTCAGAGATTATTGCGTCCATCACTGTGCAGCCATAGATTTTTCAGAAAGATATAGATGTCTTAACATCAGTTTCAAACCATCTTGGTGTAACAGTAATCGTCTTTTTTCGTCAGATAAAAATAATTTGAAGTCAGAAATATACAGCGAGGTGTTTTTGAAATAATGACTTAACTCTCATAATTTACAAGTCCACATATTGAGTTGGCTTTTTCTATACATGAGTTTGCAAAAGCAATCAAAACACGCTCCAGAAAGTTCACAGAAATCAATACACTTGGCTGTAAGTCCTCCTAATATGTGAAAGCTGCCTTCATGGATATTTTTGTTTGACATTTTGAACTTTCAAGCTTAGCCCTCTTGGGACTGTGAACGTACGAAAGGTTAAAGTTTGTTCTTGATGGATGAACGACGGTCGATGATGAAAACAGGCTTCTTAAAGCCTTAGATAAAACAAAGGGTGTAGAGGGACCTACTTCTTGAAACAATAAACATGACTTGTTCTTCGTTAAGGGTACACAATTGCATGTGTGTATATATATGTAAAGAATATACGACGCATTGGAAGAGTGAGTTTGGTTTAACGCTTTTTGGGGTCCAATTCGAATAATACAGTCGCTGCGTGTCAGCTGTGTGTGGGAGGTTAAGCCTGAAGTGATCCAGATCCTAGATATTTACCACTTTGGTGTACATGGTTTATTTGTTTGTTTATTTGTTGTTTAACGCCGCACTCAGCAATGTTCCAGCTATTAGATATGACGGCGGTCTGTACAATCCAGTGATTGGCTTCATGAGCATCTATCCACGCAATTGGGATACGATGACATGCATCAACCAAGTCACTCATCCGATCCCGTTAGTCGCCTCTCACGACAAGCATAGTCGCCTTTTAAGGCCAGCATGGGTTGCTGAAGACCTATTCTACCCCGGATCTTCACGGGTCTGGTGAACATGGGAAAGGTGCTGACAAACCTAGAACAAAAGTGGTTCGAACATTGATCAAAAGGAACGCAGTCAGCACAGCGTTTTACGGCACCTAAGACGGCTGTGCCATCCGTGCAGTATATGTATGGTTCAAGTACCAAAACTGCAAAACATAATTGTTGTCATATCATATCACCAAAGACCGTAATAGCAAATGGTGTATGTATGTCTAAAATTATAGCTATATGTATATATATTCATATTTCATAGTGTTCACAGTTACATAGTATTTTTGTCACTTTCCGAAAATCCTCCACAGACGCATTGTTTGTTATCTTACCTGGTATTATTAAACAAAAATTCCTTCATAGTATACTTGGGACATTATGTCGAATCCCTGGGATTATATCTCTGCATTTACTCTTCCTTATACATTCCCCATTACTGGGATTCGACCCCTGACACACCGGGTGGCATTTCGCCAATGATGTTTCAACTTGCTACCACTTTGGGCACTGGAACCTTGTGTAGAGTCGGAATGTTATATGTATTGTTGGTGTGTGCAATAAAGAAATTAGTTTTGTGTTTTTTACGGATTCAATTTGCAATAAACTGATATGCGCAATAGGATATGAACTATTCAAACAGATACACACCGCCTTCAACATTGTCAGGGGAAATTTGCCCCGGAGATTTGGCTCCAGTCATCTATTGCCAGATATTCCACTTGTTTAATAACTTAGAAAAAACTCTCAAACTCTTATTTGTATTAGATGATAAACTCGCTTACTCGGGACATTCATGTGATGCGGGATTTTAATCTCATATGAGCCTCGGACGTTTTTAGTTATCCTTCAGATATATCCTCTGAATGATATATTGTATGGTGATAAAATCGTTCCCTCGTACGTATCTGTCTCCAGAGGCGATTAAAATAAGGATCAGATAGATACAATGTGTTTCATGGTAAATGGTATTTCTTGGTATTTCATCGGACCCCAATAGTGTACATCCATACCACTGGTTTGTTTATTCCAGACTCGAGCATTTAAAGGCAGTCATTACCTCGTTACCTCACTCTTAATGTTCTACCCGTGCATATTCCGTGTAAGAAAACGTTCCAAACAGCCTACGGATCGGTTGGTCAGGTTCGATTACTCATTTGGTCGCATGTCATCGTAGCCCGACGGCTCTGGATTATTTACAGACTGCCGTCATATAGCTGGAATATTGCGGCGTTAGCAATGAACAAAGTTAAATGGTTTACTTATGCGCGTTAATAAACGTCTTTTCATTTCAGTATGTGATCAACTCGACAGGGGAGTTTTTATTCTTTTCGGGGCCAGCAGTGCGGCTTCTTACAACACAATCCAGTCGTACAGCCAAGCGTTAAAAATCCCCTACTTTCTATTCACGCCGACAAGGAACGAACCAGGCGACGGCTACGCTTACGATATCAGCATCAGCCCCTCGTACACCAGTGCAGTCATCGATATAATCAAATTTTATGGATGGTCAAAAATATATTTCTTGTTTGATTCCGACGACGGTAAGTTAATTTGGGAGTAATGTTCTGTTCGCGCTGTTTGTATTTTCTTATTGATTAAAGACTTGTATGTGGCGCTTAATGCCATGCAATCAGTGAATAGTTTTGCGATTGATTTTATAAAACTGTCTCTTTACTGAAGGGTTTTGAGTGCATTATTTACGGTCCCTTGGGACCTAGATTTGTGTAATCGTGCTTGTAGTTGGAATGTATGAAGTATACAACAATTGACTTTATTGGATAAATTTAAAAGTTCTAATTAACAAATCGACAAAAAAGAAAATGAATGCAAACTGTAATTGTTTGTCAAGCCATGAAGTTACATTTATCAATTCCAAACATTAAGTTGATTAGTCTCTCGTGATTAAAGCTCGTTTACTTTAACATTTTTTAACACTGAGCTCGTTGCAAGCAGTTATAAGGCCCCTGGGAGTCTGAAACTGATTGAGAAATTGTGGATAATGTTGAGAGAATGTTTATGGTGGTTCAACAACAACAACCATTGTCATGCATTTTGTGTCAAAAACTTTTTTTGTAGGACTTTGGCAATTACAGAACCTATATGATGCCTTTAGAGAACCCAATACAAGTCTAGTTGTGGATGCTCAGAGACTCCGCGCAGTGACAAAGTCACGTGATGTGCTGCGAAAATTAGACAGATCTGAACTTGTCTACAAAAAGAGAATTGTCGTCTCCTTAAGGAACGTTTCTTCTTACCAAGCTTTCATGAATCAAGTGAGTTTATTTCTGTTTTATTTCGTGTTTGTTGTTTAAGAGACTAGTGCTGTACACCGTTTTCAGTAATTTTATAATGAGACCTTTATTAAAAAATGAAAAACAAAATAGAAAGTTGTCGAAGAAAAATATCACGTGGCTGTTAATATCCACCGAGAAAAATCCCATTTACGAAATGCACATCGAATACAATCCCCATCTGTAAAGGTAGCTTCCCACCTAGGTCAATTCACCCAAAGTCAGTTTCCACTTACACCAATTTTTACAAAGGAAATTCACCTCGAAGGCAATTCTTATTTAAATAATCGAGACAAAACCCTTGCCAGAATAATAAGACATCCGTTGTACGATTCCGACTATAGCATAAGCAGGTGTTTATGAATCACTATCAAACAGTGATGATACTAGGTGTTCACGAAAGGGCGATCGTGTCCTGCGCCACCGGTTTGACCCTTCACAAATATGTGCAAAGAAAAGTCCCTGTCCACATGTCAGTCAGTCACTTGCCCGTAATTAAATGTAATTCCAAGCTACAGGTAGGTCACTTCAACCTTCATGTTAGACAATTCCCGCCAACATGTAGGTCAATTTCCACGTCCAGGTAACACAATTCCCACCATCATGTAGGTCAATTCCCACGTCCATGTAACACAATTCCCACCCACGTCTAGGTCAATTCCCACGTCCAGGTAACACAATTCCCACGAACATGTAGGTCAATTCCCACGTCCAGGTAACACAATTCTCACCCATGTCTAGGTCAAATCCAACCTCCAGGTAACACAATTCCCACCCACGTCTAGGTCAACTCCAACCTTCAGATAACACAATTCCCACCCACGTCTAGGTCAAATCCCACGTCCAGGTAACACAATTCCCTTCAACATGTAGGTCAATTCCCACGTCCAGGTAACACAATTCTCACCCACGTCTAGGTCAAATCCAACCTCCAGGTAACACAATTCCCACCAACGTCTAGGTCAATTCTAACCTTCAGGTTACACAGTTCCCACCTACGCCTGGGTCAACTCCCATCTCCAGGTAAGATAATTTTCACCTACGTCTAGGTCAATTCCCACCTCCATTTAAGACAAATCCCATCATAAAATGTCAGACAATTCCAACCTGCGAATGAGATAAATAAATTTACAATGAGCATCTAAACAGATGAAAACGCCAATGAAATGTTCTATTTATCGTATAACATTCTTCTGTTTATAACATTCCAAGCCAGTGCATTTATGAAACCTTGACCTCCCTTACACTGACAACTCCCTTAAGTAATCTTTAATTATAACCTTTGCAGCTTTAACTAACTCTACATAGTAAATTAGCATAGTTGTAATTTACAGGCCGACAGTTGTCAAAGATGGGAATTGTCCAAGGCGACAATTGTACAAAGTGGGAATTGTCCTGTCAAAATTAGGCAGATGTTAATTTTCGTGCGGAATTTGTCCTGCTAGGTTAAACAGGACATTGTAGAAAAATCACTAAATTTGTGACGCGATATATTTCAACAAACAAGAACGGGAGCAACCAACAATATCATATCACACTCGCCATTGTTGAAAATAAAATACTTAACACGTTAACAGCCTCGCTTATCCACCGAAACATATTCCATTGGGCGTAAAATATGTGTGTGAGCGTGTAAAGGAACGATAGCAGTACAGGAATGTCTCAAACATTTTTTATTACATTGCATGCCCTGTTGAAAAATCTGAAGCTTATTTACCACCACCGCATCATTGTTATTTTCGCAGATGAATTATAGAACGCGATTAGCCATTTAACCCAGACAATAAATCCTTTCAAGTGACACAAGGAAAATTGCTGGTGGCGTTTACCATATAATTATATAACATGTTTACTATAACCTAATATAACACATGGCCTATTGCTCACAGACAAACCAAGTAATGTTGGCGGCTGGGTTCTCTGGAAAGAAATGCCAAGATGCACTGTGTGACATAAAAAATGCAAGACCTTTGTTCGCCATATGTAACCATCTTTGATTAACATGTCCTTGATAACGAAGGCGTTATTGTTTTGTAGCAGCGCTATATATATATATACGAGAGTTATATAGATAGAGAAATGGACACATATATGTGCCTGTGTTATATATGTAGAATGTTTGATACAGGAGACATATGATATATATATCTGTGTGTGTGTGTGTGTGTGTGTGTGTGTGTGTGTGTGTGTGTGTGTGTGTGTGTGTGTGTGTGTGTGTGTGTGTGTGTGTGTGTGTGTGTGTGTGTCTGAGTTATATATGTAGAATATTTGATACAGGAGACCCATAAATATATGTGCCTGAGTTATATAGGTAGAATAATGGACACAGGAGACACAATATAAATGTGCCTGAGTTATATATGTAGAATAATGGACACAGGAGACACAATATATATGTGCCTGAGTTATATAGGAAGAATAATGGACACAGGAAACACATAAATATATGTCCCTGAGTTAAATAGACAGAGTAATGGACACAGGAGACACAAACATTTTTATTTTGTAGAATATTTGATACAGGAGACACATAAATATATGTGCTTGAGTTATATAGGTAGAATAATGGACACAGGAAATACATACATATATGTGCCTGAATTATATATGTAGACTAATGGACAAAGGTGAGACATACATATGTTTTCCTGAGTTATATATGTAGAATATTTGATACAGGAGACAAATACATATATGTGCCTGAGTTATATATGTAGAATAAAGGACACAGGAAACACATACATATATTTGCCTGAGTTATACATGTAGTATATTTGATACAGGAGACCCATAAATATATGTGCCTGAGTTGTTTAGGTAGACCAATGGACCAAGGAAACACATACATATGTTTTCCTGAGTTATATATGTAGAATATTTGATACAGGAGACCCATAAATATATGTGCCTGAGTTGTTTAGGTAGACCAATGGACCAAGGAAACACATACATATGTTTTCCTGAGTTATACATGTAGTATATTTGATACAGGAGACACATAAATATATGTGCCTGAGTTGTTTAGGTAGACCAATGGACCAAGGAAACACATACATATGTTTTCCTGAGTTATATATGTAGAATATTTGATACAGGAGACCCATAAATATATGTTCCTGAGTTTTATAGGTAAAATAATGGACACAGGAGACACAATATATATGTGTCTGAGTTATATATGTAGAATATTTGATACAGGAGACACATACATATATGTGCCTGAGTTGTATAGATAGAGTAATTGACACTGGATACACAAACATATATGTGCCTGAGTTGTATAGATATAATAATGGACACTGGAGACACAAACATATATGTACTTGAGTTGTATAGATAGAGTAATTGACACTCGAGACACAAACATATATGTACTTGAGTTGTATAGATAGAGTAATGGACACTGTAGACACATACATATATGTGCCTGAGTTGTATAGATATAGTAATGGACACTGGAGACACAAACATATATGTACTTGAGTTGTATAGATAGAGTAATTGACACTCGAGACACAAACATATATGTACTTGAGTTGTATAGATAGAGTAATGGACACTCGAGACACAAACATATATGTACTTGAGTTGTATAGATAGAGTAATGGACACTGGAGACACATACATATATGTGCCTGAGTTGTATAGATATAGTAATGGACACTGGAGACACAAACATATATGTACTTGAGTTGTATAGATAGAGTAATTGACACTCAAGACACAAACATATATGTACTTGAGTTGTATAGATAGAGTAATGGACACTGGAGACACATACATATATGTACTTGAGTTGTATAGATAGAGTAATGGACACTGGAGACACATACATATATGTGCCTGAGTTACAAAGAAACATCTGCTGTGAGCATACTCCATTGTACGATTCCAGTAATATCATGAGAACACCCTTTTATTTTTACCACCTTTTTAATGATTTGACAAATACGCGTATTAATTGTAAAATATTTCCCGTTTGAAAAATCACATCAAACATTGCAAAACATGAGGTGAAACCAGAATGATCGGCTCCACTTTTGAGTACGTTTGTAGTGCAATATATTCCCCTGCATGGAAACGTTTCCCATTTACTGAGACATTACAGATATGAAAATGATAGCCCGGCTGTCAAGTTACTCAAACTCGTACAAAAGTGAATGACATTTAATCAGCCACAATATGAGATATTTGTTGATTCCATTATACACGACAACGCGTAATAGCGAGGGATTTATTCGTATTAATTTTGATATCAGTTTCCAACAATAAGCGCCTAATCAAACTGACAGTCACCAAATAGATTGAGAGGTTGTCAAATTTACCATGAGAGCGAGTGTTTGGCCTCCAGTGATTCCATATGCCAGACCGTCTAGACTAATAAAGATTTTATATAGGTCTATCTAGATCGTTGAAGTTAGTACACTTTAAAATAATGCTGGGGTCAAGTGTTGATGGAGATGGCGATAACAGATTGATCGTTGCAGGGCTTGATGGCAACGGTCTGGAGCATGACATGACTATCGAAGGTTTCATTCAAGACAGTCGTGTTGGTTATTCTTTTTAAATAGCTTCCATTTGGTTGGTTGTGTGAAATGATATGTGCCTGTCGGGTGGGAGACATTAGGGGAGGCACATCATTGCGTTTGTCACATGGAATTCGTGCTTCTTTCGTACCGATCTTGAGAGTCAGGGATATATTTGGCCCTAATGTAATGTACATTAAGATTCACGGTGGCTACTTTAAAAGGATGCTGTGTGTTGTGTTTATCGAGACGTAGCCTTAAATCATTTTCCAGACTTTATTCAATATATATCCCCTAGATTGCAGTCATTTCCATTTTATTACTCCAACGAGAATACACACGAGGGAAGCTTACTAAAATCATATTACAATATCTCTAAATATGCATCATGTTATGTTATGTGAAGTAAACGGCTTAAAAAGGCCAGTAGAAATTGTCGGGGGCGTGGTGAAGTCCGTTCTGCTGATAGACTTATTACCTAACTTGCCTAAACATTCTTGAACGTATGTGTTGAGACTAGTGAGCCCCATCGGCTCAGAAATCTAAAACAATATTGATATTGTTGAACATGCAACTTTTGATATAATAATCAGACCATGAAATATTAATATCTGCCAAGAAATATTTGTGTTATAGAGGATTAGTCCGTCACTTTTGGAGCGAAATAAGAAATGTTTCAAGGATACCAAAGGAAACATAATTTCATCTATTTTAGTAATTGATTCAATTAATTTGCAACAATCGTCCAATATTTCTCTACTTTGTCTACGTGAGAAAGAAATGTGTAACTCTGTGAATGCTGATTGTGTTACTGTGTAAAAAGAAAATAATCCCCCTTAAAGGGTGCTACCTGGACCGTCAAACCCCTGACGTGTTGTGTGAAACGTGGTATTTCTTTTATTTTTTATTCCATTTTCGTCTGTACTTACACCACAATCGTACACGCAGTACCTTGCATTTGAATATGGACAGGGCAGTTTGGTCTACAGCAAATGTGAAATACACTGGTAAATAATATATTTTGATAAATTATTTCTTTCGTTTTCGTTAACAAATACATTTTGTTATTGTGTATTGATGATGCATTTAAATGCAAAGTGTGATCCCTTAACCGTTTAAGGTTCGCTATTTTTCATCATCCTTGGTTTGACAGCATTGTTCATTGTTGTCCACGTCCCTTTGGCGTTCCAAATATTTGTTACCATGCCTTGCGATGCATATTGTTTAAAGTACTGTTAAATCATAATCAGTCACTTATTAAATTAAAACGTATCAAATTTGAATGTATGACTTTCTTTTAGTTTTCGCCCTTACTTTCAGATTGTGGACGTCGGTATGAACAGAGAGGACTATCATTACGTCATCGCCGGCCCGGTTTGTGAGCGATTCTTTACAATGTTGATCTGCTCTAATGTCTTTGATATCAGTTTTACATCATAGCAGGACCGCCTCCGTGGTCTAGTGGTAGAGCGTCCGCCCGGACAGCGGAAGGTCCGGGGTTCGATCCCCGGCCGCGTCATACCAAAAGACGTTAAAATATGGTACTTGTTGTTACCCTGTCTGGCGCTCGGCATTAAAGGGCCGGTCGGCTCGGAGTCAGTATACTCTGTCTGAGTGGGGTATTCATGTTAAACTGCGGCATGGTATCTCAGTGTGCTAGCACTATAAATCGGCATCAGTCCGGACTAGTACAAGCAGCCACACACACGTGCATGCTCGTCGCTATATAAGTGCAATAATCTTGGACGCGACGTTAAACCCCATTTCACCTCACCTCACCACATCATTTCATACCTGCGTATTGGCTGTTTTAATGTGCCACTGTTTGAAAGATGAGTTTGTGAATTCCACAGTTAGCAATGTTCCAGCTGTGTCAGTGTTGATAGTCACATCAGGACGAACTAGTGGTTGATACTATGAACACCGATTATGTCAACGGGTTACGATGAATAAGACAAGTTCCCAATTGCAAATTATAATCATGCACATATCGTTACTTTAATCGGCTTTCAGTAGGCGCCGGAGTTAGTTGTGTTGAGTGATGCCCCTTTGGCGTGCCAGAATTCCGTGTTTTCGAATTCCAGATTCATCAATATGTCAGAATTAGTTAGCACCAACCTCATGGCAAGCGTCAACAACGTATATCATTTTATTCAACCTGATATTTAATATACCTAAACGTCGTGATATGTCTTGAATAATATTAAAAGCTACATAAAACCAAACTCTTTCTTGGACGGTATTTTGTCGTTCTTTTCTGTCTCGAAATTCCCACGGAGGACAAGCCGACGGATATATGAGTAATTAAGAATAGTACATACAAAAGAAGCGCAGATACCGCCTCCGTGTTGGACGTGACCTTGTCCTTTGTGACTCAGCATGCCATCATCAGACTCGATTGATAGAACCTCCAAGAGATACTTGAAATTATGATTTTATTGCAGGTCTTTTAATTATATGTCTATGGCAACAGTTCTTAAACTACGATTTCATTTATGTAACGACAGGGTTCTAAATTTATATATCCCAATCCTTTATTGTAAGGATCAAATATACATAAAACGTCAACGCCCGAGACTATCCAGTCTCGATTATCCATTCGGCGTAAAATGTATAACAGTGGTGAAATTATATGAATGGATCACTGAAATTCACGAATGCAAGTTGGCACATAGTTTTAAGTACAAAGCGTACATCATTGGTTACAAATTCTGATTTTTAAAGCAACTATAAAGCACAACACCAGACGCCGCAACACATTTTCAGTTACAGTAAACAGTTGCCATTAGACGGATCCCGTAAACACAAGTATAACATCAATGTGGATCTACTCCCGTGATCAAAGTTACATGTAATCGTCCAAACATATTTTTACACGTCGCGCAACAATTTCTTGTGTTTCCAAATGCGGCAATATCGCACCATTCCTATACTCCAGACTGTCCGCTTGATCTTCAATGTCATTCAAATCAGGCGTTAATAACAAAAAGGCAGCCATCAAAGCGTAAGGTTTTGACGTTTACCCTCCACGAAACGTATTCATCCATGTCTATTTCATATCGGTTGTCCGACTCACGTCAATCATATCATTGGTGAATGGCAGTTCCAGGTCAATACAAATCTATCATTCATAAAGCACTATGGTTATGAGTTAAAAGCAACTACAGACACGCCTTTACCAGACAAGTTGTGCATTTGAGTCGTTTTATTCATTGTCCGTGGGTTCCTTTCGGAAATCTCTAAGGGAAATGTGTTTTTGTTTTCAAAGATTAAACATCACGCATTGTCAATCCTTCATTGTTAAAACATGGACTAAAAAACTTAGATCGCGTGGGCGCGAAATAAGGTGGTTTTCACACGGGAACTGATCACTTCCTCGGTCACGAACCTTTCGAAGTGTTGTGTGTCTCTTTGAACTACGGTTTCCTAAATTGGTCAAATTAGTTTAAACGAAAGGTTTACATGCACATGACTTTGATCACGAACATGTTCATATAACATCACTCTGTTTAGATTTGTGAACTTTGAAAGTCAAACAAATTGTCCACGAATCATTGAATCGTATAATATGGCATCTCTATCTTAAGTGTTATTAACGTAACGGTAGTAAGTCAAACATGAATCATGTCTCATAAATCAATGTCCCGCTACTAATCAAACAATGCACTAATCATATCAATGCATGTATATTTCTCGCTTTCATCAATACTGTACATTGCAGGATATCGAACTACTAGACCTCAAATCATTTCTACACGGAGGGGTCAACGTAACCGGTTTCCGTTTGCTTGAGCAAAGCCGTGGGGAGAGCATGTCTGAAGATATGAGAGCTGGCATCACCCATGGGAGGAACCTAAACCGGTTTGGTAAACCGACACCACTGAAGTTTCGAGAATCGGTGAGGCTGGACATGAGTTTTCTATTTCGAAAGTCAATAGCATAATGGAACCAGGTTTAGATTCCGGATTGGTTGTCTTGTGTCTGATGGGATTCGAGGGGACACGTTAATTCCATTTCCAGAATCATTTCACGGGTGCAAGCAGCTTTTGTATGGCTTAACCCCACAGCACGTGTTTAGAATGTCGCTTTCCTCTAGGAGCGGAGTGAGTGATTAATGTTTGATGGCGATCTGTGTACACCTCATGCCCAGTGAATTAACAGTGCTCATCAAAACAAACCGATTTTCAACATATGTCGGAAAGCTTTTATTATTAGGACAATATTTCCCAGAGATTGTCCGAGATAATAATGTGGATTCTCCGATGACCGACACTTAAAACCCGTTTTAGAATAGATGAAGTAATGTGATGGAAATGGATTTTAGTGTTTTCTTTGTTGAGAGAAAGAACTGAAACGTCAATTTGGAAATAACGCGGTTCCTCATTTAATTACATCAAGCACAATCATGTGTATTTGTGGAGAATCAAAATATATATAGAATAGTTTTAAGTACATTGAACTTTATTATCGCACTAGAAGTGCTGGGGATGCTGATTTCATATTTCATATTTTATTTCAATATAAAATCATACACTCCAACACAACATAATCACCATCAGTACTTCTTGTTGGATGTGATCATATTACTATTCAAATGACAGATTCTATCTATTTATGGCCTTGTCCTGTCATCGATACACGGGTACACTTGGATACTCTTATTAAAGTGGAAGTGTTCAACATTCATATGACACGACGTGATATGACTGAAATAATGTCACCTTTGGTCTGCCAAGACCATATTTGTGTTCGCGAGTTTCACCAAAATAGTAAATTTGCCACATCCAGGTAGCAAACTAACTGTTGACATAACTGAAATACTACACAAACCAGCGTTAAACTCACTTACTCACTCACTCAGTGTAAGCAACCTTCATTCACATTGCTTGAATGTTCTATATCTTCTCAGACTGAAGCCGCGTTGGCCGCCGACGGAATCAAGGTGGTGTCCCGAGCGTTCAACCTGCTCCTGGACAGTCCAACTGACCGTTCCATCTATCGGACCTTCCGACACGGGCAAGTGTACAATGATGGCACCCGAGGAGTCAAGTGCAGGGACTTCCCCATAAAACCCTGGACGCACGGCTTCACCATCAGGAAAGCCATTACCAAGGTGATGCACCATCAATGTCAGCATTATGACCTAATTACCAATATGTATTGGCACTGGGCGATTATTTTGACCCTACTAATGGTTATCTTGCATCTTTTCAAGACACAGGAAAGTAAAAGTCTGTGTTTTATCGATCACTAAGGCTTATGTAGCGTTTCTTGTAGCCAGTAAGTCGCACTTGTCTGATATTCTCTGGAGCGATATTGAACACAATAACTCATTGCCACTAATGTCCGTTTGATTATAATGGTGTGGCCTTTCCGTTTGTTCTATATGCACATTTACATTACAATTCCAATATGGCAAATGATACTCCAAACAGTTATCAGATTTACGCATATACCGTTGAGACAAGAGTAGCGACATGTATGGACGCGCCCTGTGGGATCTGGTCAGAGGATGCAGGTCTTCAATATCCTACATGTATGTCAGACGCAGAAGCCGTTTAATGAGTAATGATCTGTCACAGTCTGTAACCTGATAATCTCTCCAGTACTACAATACTAAACTGTACACAGCTCACATGCGTAGTTAAAGAAATAAAATTGTAATACAATTTATGGTTGTCACGGTTTCATATCAACAAAGACCCAACCTCCCTAATAACGTACATAATCATGGGTATACGACTGGCATAATGGTCTAAGATTCCGAATTCGCTTTGCAGATTTGCGTGCTTAAAATCAATAAATGCAGTATCGTGCCACTGGTTTTCGGTTCAATCACTTGATTGCCTGGTTGTTGACAGGCCGCCACTGCATGGCAGGGGTACATGGCAGGGGTACGGCGTCAGGCGACAAAAACTTTTTTTGCATATTGTCGCGGTGCTACCGGCAGGGCAGGACATTCTTACCTTTTTTATGAAGACCCGGTGTCATCACAGATTTAATCCTACGCTTGCTCAGCAGCACAAACCCCCGTTGTTTTGGACTAGACCTTGTAATTAGTACCGCATGTGAAAATTAGACATTGCCTCAGTCTATATAGGGAGTCAAATAATTGAAATGAAGTTGAAATCGTTGTTAACCCCTTCTCACTCACTCACTCACTCACTCATTTTTTCTCCTCAATAGATAGAAGCAAAATGTATTTTGTGCCATTAGAACAATCCTTGAACATAGTCAATACGTCATGGGTTCGTAGACACTGTGTGGAGTGGGAACGTGGTGGACACAGACATGTGAACATGTTGCCCCCTTGCAAGAGCACATATTTGTATGTTTGTTTGGTGTTTAACACCTCACCCAGCAATATTCCAACTATATGACGGCGGTCTGTAAATAATCGAATCTAGAACACTCAGTCCAGCTACTGTCATCATGAGCATCTATTTACACAATTGGGATACCCTGACATGCACCAAGCAAGTCAGCCAGTCTGACCATCCGAACCCGGAAGTCGCCGCTTACGACAAGCATTAGTTGCTGAAGACCAATTCTAACCCGGGTCACAAAAGCATGTAAACAACCTAGATAATGAAGAATGTTCACATTATTATTCCATATATTATCATACTGTTTTAAATGCAGGTGAAGATACGGGGACGCTCTAAAAGGATTGGTTTCCACTCAAGTGGTATCCGACAACGTCACAAGCTGGATGTGCTGCAATTGGAGTATAAACAGAAATTAAGGAAGGTGAGTCTTTATAATATTGGACGCTTAAGATCTCTTATTTGCCATAAAACTGCTTTGTGGTCAATGTATACTATCTCTATATTTGACAACGATACATAAGCGGGCATGGACACGTTTTTCGTCAATTAAGTATCACAAGGATTTGTTTTTAGGGTGGTTGCGTTGTGTGTTCGACCATTGGGGTAAAAGGTACTGGTGACTTGCCACTCAAAAAAGGGATAATAGAAAATTAGCATTGCTTGAATTTGACGAAAAGTAAGCTTAGATGAAAATGGAGATATTTAGTTAGGCATAATACGGTATGTCAGCTTGACATGGGAGGAAACCCCTAGTGATACTGGTTATAATGCACCAAATTTCGAAGTGACACGTGGCTGTTTTGCAGGTAGGAACCTGGTCCAAGTCTGACGGCTTCAATACAAGCATGGCTCGACCTGAGAAGGAAGCGTTCCCCTTACCAGCAAACAGAACGAGGATAGTCACCACCATACTGGTCAGAACACATTTGCATGTTTAGATCGTGTCCCCTGGGCATTATTTTACATGTTACAAAACATAAGCCCACTTAGAAACGTGTGGTTGAAATGTCGGTTATGTCGAACTGCGAGTTCGACACAGCGGTGTTCCAACAGTATTTTGATCCTTTTCACTACTTCTACCAGTTTCACAAACAAATTAAAGAACGCATTGATGATATTGATGGATTTAGTTGATTATATGAGAGACCAACAGCGGTCCATTGTGTTTAATAATATATGGAGATAAACATATTCGACAAATATGAATCAAATTCGACCATTCTACTTCTTGACAGTCAATCATAAAGTCTACAGTCACTAATATACTGATACTGTGGCAAACAGTTGATTGATGTTAATATAATAGCTAAATTAATATGATATCTTTCACAGGTCGATCCGTTTGTCATCAAGGACTGTCCACCTAATGGCTCCCCTTGCACCGGAAATGAACGTTTCCAAGGCTACTGTGTCGATCTCGCCCGACAGGTGGCGGAGATTGTCAAGTTTGATTACGTCATCAAACTGGTGAAAGACGGAGGGTACGGTGGACGCCTGCCTAACAACTCGTGGACAGGCATGATCGGGGAACTCATCAGAGAGGTGGAGTCAACTTGCAACATGATATCGTACACTGAAATAGCGCCCACGTCCATAATAGAATAAGAGTAATTCTTTAACGTGAATGTGATAGGTATGAAATTGTGAGGGTTTGGTGGAATTCAGTCTGAAAGTAGTGCAGCTGCTATAAAACGAGAGAAAGACGTTCAGCTGATATAAAAATGAGTAACATTGACATATAGGGTGAAAGTAGTGCAGTTGATATATAGTGAGTGAAAGTAGTGCAGCTGGTATATTGTGTGTGCAAGTTGTGCAGCTGATATATAGTGAGTGGAAGATGTGCAGCTGATATATAGCGAGTGAAAATAGTGCCACTGGTATATAGTGAATGAAAGTTGTGCAGCTGGTATATAGTGAGTGAAAGTTGTGCAACTGGTATATACTGAGTGAAAGTAGTGCAGCTGGCATATAGTGAGCGAAAATAGTGCAGCTGGCGTATAGTGAGTGATAGTACTGCAGCTGGCATAAAGTGAGTGAAAGTCGTGCGGCTGATATATAGTGAGTGAAAGTAGTGCGGCTGATATATAGTGAGTGAAAGTAGTGCGGCTGATATATAGTGAGTGAAAATAATACAGCAGTGCAGGCTTGGGCTAAAAAGAGAATGGAAGTAGTCCAGTAGACTTTTCATGTGCACGTAGAGAGGCCGGGATTTCGTTTTCAAAGTGCTATATTCCATTCATATTGCATTGCACACATAACAGTTTGTTAACGCGAGATGATATGAATGACCTGCTACAGTGTAAATGAAGGGAAGAGGAAAGGACTCAAGATGTCTGGCCTTCAACACTAATGGCTGACTGAAGAAGCACGTGCATGTACACGTGTTCCTCTGGAAACTAATGAACAGCTGGACCAATTGTATGAGAGAAATTCAATTTGTAGAATATAGAATAGATGCAGGTGCATTAGACTCCATAAACAAAATCAATACTAAGTCGACACAGAAGTGAGAAATCTTGCGATTCAATTATAGAAGTTATTACATGCACGGAAGTCAATAGTGTGAAGAGTCCTCAAAAGGGACAAAATTCGCGGATGTTAAGAGTACTTCCCCGAAACTCTTGTCAGTGGTGATGGCATCATTGGCGACGTGGTCATTTTGACCCTCTACCGCGAATTGGGTGAGGATATAACGTAAGTGTAGATGGTATTTCGGATCTTGTACTTTTGATATCTTCTTTCCGCCATACCTATATGTACCGCGGACCTTATCATTAAATCATGCAATATGGTCTTGAGTTCATAGATTTTATGTGTCAACTTAAATCATTAACGAAACAAGACAGCAGTTTCGGTATCAGTTAAAGGGAGATAATGTGTCAGTTTGTGCATTTGAATATATCCGCTTGTCAAAGGGAGACAATTTGACACTTAATGTAACTATTATAGCGTCACCAGGGAAAAGAGTTTTTGAACATTGCGAGGATATCGGAATCATGTAGATCTATCATGGTCATAAATTTATTTTTTTTAAACATATTATTGATACGCATACACCATTCAATGGAGGTGGGGGCACACATACAGCTTCGTCCAAGAAGTAATGGTATGAAACTAGCCGATACTTTTTCGTGTGAGGTGATTGAGGGTTTACATTGTCTGTGAGGCAATGTATGTATACACGTTCTTTGAAAACGAAATTGTATCATCCTGTAACTTTGTATGTTTAACTAATCGAGAGAGACTCGTGTTATATACGTTCATCTTACTGATTCACTATAGAATACATTTGCATGAAACACATTGTATTTTAATTTGAAATGTACCTGGGTGATTTCTAAGGTACAGCTGTAATGACAATATTCTCAAATATTACAAAAATGTATAAAACGTTTATATTGTTTGAATTGTATAATATTTTTCTTTAAAAGGAAGCCGACGTTGCCATTGCACCACTGACGATCACGAAAATACGGGAGCGTGTAGTAGACTTCTCCAAACCTTTCATGAACACAGGAATCAGCATCATGATCAAAATCCCAGACAAGCAAAAACCAGGCATATTTTCCTTCATGGATCCCTTCTCCAAAAGCATCTGGCTATGCATTACACTTGGATTTTTAGCGGTCAGCTTTGTGTTGTTCCTTGTGGGAAAGTTTTCTCCCTTTGAATGGGACGTTGAATGCACAGGTGAAGGTCAGAGTGCAAGTACAGCGTTTACCCTGTGTAACACCCTGTGGTTTGCGCTGGGGGCTTTGATGCAACAAGGATCCGATATATCACCAAGGTAGGTGAGCAACGAACAGCATAACACCTTTTTTCCTGCTTCGAACGTCTGTGTAGAAGACAAGGCATCATAGTGGAAAGGTCCTAGATTTTCCGCATATTTAACGGATTCCGTGGTAGAATAGGTCTTCAGCAACCCATCCTTGCCGTAAAAGGCGACTATGCTTGTCGTAAAAGGCGACTAACGGGATAGGGTGGTCAGGCTCGCTGACTTGGTTGATGCATGTCATCGATCCCATGTGCGTGGATCGATGTTCATGATATCAATCACTGGATTGTCTGTTCCAGACTCGATTATTTACAGACCGCCGATATATAGCTGGAATATTGCTGAGTGCGGCGTAAAACAACAAACCAACCAAAAGCATATTTAACGTAACGAACAAAACCGTTATGAATTACTATAAAAGTTAGCAGATGTATTCATATGAATAAGATGAAAACTTTGTACTTTCAACATTTGCGTAACACCAACATTACAAAAATGATGATTTGAGAGATTTTTCAGTCGAGCAAATATTTCATGTAAGTAAGATATGTAAGACTGCATCTTGTAAAGAAAACGTACTCCTTTCTTCTCTTTCAGCCAATGTTCTGTATTTCATTATGTCATACATCAAACAAAAGTAAATTTTGCAGGGGTTAGAAATAAAACGATTAGGCGTCATTGCGAATCATATAACTGTGTCCAATAACTTTCATAACAATATTTCACAGTTTTCCATGGTGCCAAAAAGGGTGATTGTCACATATCGTCCATGTCCGTGAATGCACCTTATTTTGATGTAAACAATCTCTCTATATTAACTGCCTCGTGGTTCTGCGCAGGTTACGTCTGCAGTCGAAAGTTAATCTACATATAATACATAAATACCAGATTTGATTCGTCAAGGTGTTTCATCGCATCTCTAAAACGATTCTTTCATTCATCACCGTCACAAACGGTTTCAATCACAAATGACTACCAAAAAACCTTCAAATTCGCACCTATGCAAACTGAAACCCTTAGTGCATGAGTTAAATCAGTTTACTTCAATGAAATAAGATAACTGTGTGTGGAGATTTGTGGAAGGGAGCAAATAATCACGTTAAAGACCCAATCTCAATTTACCGTGTAATTTCACGGCCGAATGCCTCCGGTTAAAGGTAGCTTCTGCCTCAGCTGTTCAATCCAAGCCCTAATCAGTTTGTATCTCCGAACGAAGAGTTAATGCGGCGTACTGAAAGCCAGTTATCGCACGCCCTCGAGCTAAATCCACTGCTCCAGCTTATGGTGCCAATAGAGCCTGGTAATGATGGCACTTCTTCAAGATGTCTCGTGGAGATGAATATTCGGCCAAGAATAACGTGGGGCTTGCAACGTATATGTTAAAAATCTTCTGAAATCGATTGGCAATGAACTAGAGACAATCGTATATTTCGAATTGCGGATGTGATTTATGGATGTGTGTTAAGATAAAGGTTCGGTCTGCCTTGTTCTACATGACTGTGAAGAATAGCTATGCTTAGATTGGACATGATATTAGGTGCCGGGAGGTAGACTAGTTGTATTATGGTTGTCTGAGTGGTTTACCGTAAACACTCTTATAAAGCAGAACATCGTTGAGACAAAAGGATTATGAACATCTGATTGTAAGCAAAGTCAAATCAGGGGTTCTGCACTTATGGATGGTCTGTAACAAACTGCATCTTCAAGTCTCAGTATGTGATCCAAAACATTACAAAACAATGGCTCAAACATTTCCTTGTGAAATCATCTTCTGAAAAACACAGAGTACAATTAAAGCATTATTCCCAGATCCAATACCCTTTTACATTCGGTTTTCGATTATTTCATTGTGGATTTGTATTGTTTTTGTCGACTCTTTCGGTTGGACACAATGAAAATGCGTCAGAGCATTTTCTCAGGGGTAAATGTTGAATTCGTGCACACTGCTATTTGTGGATAACGGTAAATACCCCAGCTGTTGCTGTATGACAGAGAAATACGTTCTGTACCATGATGTGAAAGTGTAAATGTTATTATAATTACGAGATATTGTTAACATGATTGGCAGAAAGAAATTATATGTGAGAAAACCATTTCCATAATCATAAGAAATCTCTGCTATAAGCCGAGTTCATTGTACTATTCCGACTATATCAAAAACATGTGTTTATGAATCACTGTGTAATAGTGATGATACCAGGTGATATGAAAAGGTGAGCGTAGCCTGTCAACCGGTGGCACCCGTCACATACACATGCAAAGGCAAGTCAATTGTTTACCTGAACATCTGTTACATCTGATGCAAGTCAAAATAGGGAATAGGGTCACCTTTGGTCACTAAAGCGTCAAATTTGGAAATGTCCTCCTCATGTCTATCACACACCTTTTGAAGTCTTTACGAATGTTCTTAATGTTGTAACCTTGATTAAACCTTTTGAGCAAGAGTCACATTTCACAAGGAATTTCAAGCAATCGATAATCTTTTAAACCAATAACTAGGGCAACATCCTTTGTCTCTCTGAAGTTTGAAGAACTGGATCTGGCTCTAGAAGAGAGTTCTTTTGGTTATGGAAAGTTTTTTTCCGCTTTTATTAACTTAACGCAATATATATCTATCAATTTTATAAATGTTATCATAGTAGCACAAAGCCACTTGTTTTGGCACTGTCATTTCAATTACATTACATTAATTAAGGCGCTTAAAACATAAATATTTCCGAACAGTGACGGTCAGCCTTATCATGTGCTAATGTATACATTGAAACCTAATTTGTCTGGATTTGTCGTTTAGCGTGCCATTACGGCTGGGTGTCTCTATGGTAATTAAGGCGGTATTACTACCAAACCATCAGCCGTGAATCCTGCTCGGAGAAAAGGGTGTCCATGTTAAACTGAGGCATGGTATCTCAGTAGGCTAGCACTGTAAAACCGGCTTACGTGTGAACTACATAGAGAGAACACACACACACACACACACACATACACACACACGCACGCGTGCACACACTCACGCATGCACATACACGTGTAATGTTCTTGAAGCCGACGTTAAACCCCATTTCACCACTCCTCAGTCGTTCTTCCAGGAATTTGTCAATCTGTGCGATTTCACTATAACAACCGGGTAATCATTGTGTACAAAACAATTATTATGAAATTACATTAGTCTTTATTCTTTGTCCTCAGATCTTTCTCGGGCCGTATAGTGGGGAGTGCCTGGTGGTTCTTTACACTCATCCTCATATCCTCCTATACCGCCAACTTGGCAGCCTTCCTCACTATAGAGCGGATGTTCACACCAATAGACTCAGCAGATGACCTCGTTAAACAGACGGAAATCAAATATGGTCCCAGGGAAAATGGGTCAACATACGAATTTTTTAGGGTATGTATTTTTATAATATTTGTATGGAATTCGAAGCTATTGTAGATTCTTTTTTATTTAATTCATTGTACATTATTTTATAACATCATTGCTGTCATTGTTTTGGGGTGAGGCATATTACTTTTTAAAACTAGTAAGTGCTGTCATGTCATCGTACATGTCATCGTAAATATCATCGTACCCCGCCAGTGTGGGTCGTTGATCATGATAACGGCGTGGACGACGAGGTCGTATTCCGCAGATCATGATGATTGAGAGGATTTCATTCGTCACCACTCGCCCCTTTCCGTAACCTGCTAGAAGACCCCCTATCGATGAACGTTATGTGCGAAAATACGACAAACCAATCAGAATGCGCGTATGATTTCAAGTTCTTCGTCAAAGAATCCCTCAGAAATAATTTTGATTTAACATATGTCTTGCATCTAAAAATATACCAAAGATACAGTTAAATGTGGTCAATCATACTGTATAATTCCGCACGTTCCGATATGCTTTAAATTGCATCAGAAATATATATAATATATGGGGAAAATGTGTGAACCACTACGCAACGAGTTGACAATTGTTTTAGGTATGCCCGTTTGCGCTAAGACGGAACCCGGTCGCAAAAATGGCCACGATCGGGGCACGAGTCGCTATTCGGCTTGTCCCGGAATAACACGAGTTGGTCACGAATTGGAGGATTTGTGACATATACATATTCAATATTCGTTTTGCATCGTGTACTCTCACAAAAAATTAGGAGATCATGAAACATAAATGTTATAATCGGTCGTCAGAAGAAAGATCAGCTTTGAAGAATGACTGCCAAGGATAGGACTGATTCGGAACCAACCACGCCCTAAACATTGCACGTGGACGTGCGCAAGGGGTAATACTTGATTTTTACACTTCAGTGAAAGTCTGATCGCTCTCATCCATTAGTATTCTTGATTTTCATTATCCACAGTACCACGTACGCTTTCTACTATAATTTCTTTAATGCAATATTTGTGATCAGATTGGGAATGCGTCGTCTACAGCGTGATGAACGCCTTAGGGATATTAACATGCTTCAAAGAGTTACAACTCAACGAGAGGTAGCCATTATCTTCAATTTGTCTGTGACTTGCAGACTTTGGAACAGGTTTCTGCAGACATAAAATGTTAATGAAAAGTCCAGGGTCAATTAATCAGAAGAAAAGTTTAAGACATCGAGCCAATCAATTCGCTGTTCAATTGTGCCAGGCCACTGGAGGCATTTAGATTAAAAATCGTCTTCATGCAGCTGATCTGCATGCTCGGCGACCACATGTAGTACCACCGTCAACAAGTCGACACATTCTAGCCGGACGCCAAGGTTATTAGAGCATAGAAACTGGGAATCAGTGATGGTCTCGTGTAATGTTTTCAGATGAGTCCAGACTCACTCTGGGCTTTCTTGATTGGTATGGACGTGTCTGGGGGCGTCCTTACGAACGTCATGCCAACGTCAATGGAAGGCAGCATGACTGATGTTGGGGTGGGTCTGTGATAAAATAGGGTGGGATCACTATGACTGTCGTTTATATATTGTTTAAATTTTGTAACATTGAAGACATGTAATCTAAGCAGTAGGTTACATTCACGGGCAGACTCCAGCAACAGCTTTGTAGTGTGTGAGACCAGGTTTGTCTAACGCTGGTTTGAACACTTCTTTCGGTTATATCACTGGGTGTTAGCTACATGTGTGAAGAAATGTCGCATGTCTTAGACGTTTACCACGAACCGGGTACATCTTCCCGAGGCAAGAGAGTTAACTGACATTAAAAGTCCAGTTTCCACCCTTGCCGAACTAGGCTGGAATTCCTGCGCTCGATCGTAGCGCCACCAGTGGCTATTACGAGTTATGTCCTTTCTATGCCTCTCCTATTGACCAATCAGATTCAACCTCTCGTATCACTTGCATTTGCTTCAAACAAAACGGCAGCGCCCAGTCAAGACGATCTGATCGATAATCAAGATCTATATTGTGATAAAACGAGTCTTACATCGCGAAGTGCATCAAATCACGTGAGCACCTTGATTAAAAACATGAAAAGATATAGAAAATATCTGTTGACAACGAGTTAGCGGTGCACATGCTTTGCAAATCCTGCAGTCGACCGAAATCTTCTTGACACTTTACGAACCGGATTTCGATTTCGGTGCCCGATTTTGATTGGACTATGCATAGACTCGTTATTCCAGCCAAAATGTAACTCCATAATACCAGCCTAGTTCGGCAAGGGTGGAAACTGGACTTTTATAGTCAGTTAACTCACTTGCCTCGGGAAGATGACGGGTATGGTGATATGTGTAAGTTCGACTGTAAGAACGGAGTGCTGGAATGGAATTCAATGTCAGTAACCTGCTAGAATATCCACACTTATTATATAGGACCGCCTCCGTGGTCTAGTGGTAGAGCGTCCGCCCGGAGAGCGGAAGGTCCGGGGTTCGATCACCGGCCGCGTCATACCAACAGACGTTAAAAGATGGTACTTGTTGTTACCCTGTCTGGCGCTCGGCATTAAGGGTTAAAGCAAGGACTGGTCGGTTCGGAGTCAGTATACTGTGTCTGAGTGGGGTCTTCATGTTAAACTGGTATCTAAGTGGGCTAGCACTAAAAATCGGCATCAATCTGGTCTGGTACAAGCAGCCACACACACACGCGCGCGTGCATTCACGTCGCTATATAAGTGCAATAATCTTGGACGCGACGTTAAACTTAATTTCACCTCACCTCACTTATTATATAGAATGCCTCATTTCAGGATATCAGGAACATGTTAAAATTGTATTCTGGAAGATATAACTTAGTGTTTTAATTCAGAGATTTTTACTCGTACGGTGAGTTTGGTTAAACGCCGCTGTGAACAGTGTTCCAGTTATATCACGGCTTTGCAGTTATATGTTGGAGGAAAGCCTAAAGTGACGCAGGTCTCAGACGTTTTCCACTTTGGTGAAGCCCGCGAGTACGGGTATGATGTGAACACACCTAGAAACAAAGTATGGGCGAACCGGGATTGGAACAAACGATCATAGATTTAGGGACCCAAGGGACGCAACTCTACACTGTGAATTTTGGGCGCCTTAGATGACTGGGCCACCCGTGCTCCCTTACTTGGGACTTTGCGGGTCTTGGTGTAACTTCTCACCTTTTGACAACGAAATTAGTATAATCCATATCAACATTACTTTTCCTTTATTAACAATAACGTTCACGTAGCAATCCGTGTATCGCACTTGATATCTACCCGTGTTATCATACCCGTGAAGATCCGGGTTAGAATAGGTCTTCAGCAACCTATGCTTGTTGCAAGAGGCGACTAACGGGATCGGGTGGTCAGTCTCGCTGACCTGGTTGATGCATGTCATCGTATCCCAATTTCGTAGATCGATGCTCACAATGTCAATCACTGTATTGTCTGGTCCAGACTCGATTATTTACAGACCGCCGTCATATAGCTGGAATATAGCTGAGTGCGGCGTTAAACAACAAACAAACAAACAAAACACGTTATCAACTGTAAGAAAAAGAACAAAATGTTCATAGGTTGCTCTCTCACTTATACTAACTGTATATTATATGTCATTGTATATTATTATTTAGTATATTTGATTTCATGCCAACAAAAATCTTTACCGAAGTATATCAAACACATCACTGACAGTTGTTACAGTTCAACATATTATTTTCTTCAAACATGACAGCAGATTTATTTCAAAAGACCCATATGCCATTAGCAATAATATACATTCCGATGTTAACAGAGTCATGGGTACCATCGCATGTCCAGTCCATGTTTCATGCACACGCCACAGACACATGTATTGATTTTTCATCACTGCAACAGCTCTGTGATGTTACCAAGAACCCAGACCACTTATATCGTCATTTACTGTATGCTAACAAGGAATTAAAAAGGGTAGAGTGTTTTCAAGGCTTACGACTGTCTGGCAAACTAATTTTATTATTGGGCACCTTTGCATTGCGTGACATATCCCGTGGATGTCATACTTCATAGCAATATATACAGCACTGTCAGTCAGCTAGGAAATTAAACGTCAAAGCTGGTGTGACCTTTGATTTGTGGTATTTGCACAAACCTTACAATCATTTTTGTGGGCGCCATTGGAGCCTGTGAATACTCAAAGTCACATGATGTTACTTCATAACCAACACTTTATAGTCTACATAATGAACCTTACTGTCAAATTGGAACTAGTAAAAAATATTTTATATACTTATCAATATTTTTCAAAGGCGTGATCTAATATAAAAAATGAATAATGCTCATTTTTATTCCCTGGAGTTAGACTATAGGCGTCCTTTTTTAAGATGTCAGATTTAGGCTATTAAAATCGCTACAAACTATGTTTTTACCCAGCATGTCACTGACAACCTCTTGAGGTGAATAACTGTTCCTATTCACATACTCATGTCAGTAATAGAGTGAGTATGGTTTTACGACGCTTTTAGCAATATTCCAGCAATATCACGGCGGGGGACACCTGAAATGGGCTTCACACATTGTACCCATGTCGGGAATCGAACCCGGGTCTGCGACGTGACGAGTGAACGCTTTAGCCACAAGGCTACCTGACCGCCTCGTGGGTAATAGAGCCTAGAACGGTTTCTTGTACTTGAGGACAAACTCAACACATTAATGTGTCTGATACCCTTCCCAGTGATCGGCGTATACGTTTTGATTACACAAATATTCCACACCACATCATGGAGTTTAAGCAAATGTCAGCCTTCGTGCCTCATCAACTTCCAATAACGTTATACAAACTATTCCTACTGTATGCATTGAAGTAACTGATGTTCATTTCAGTCGAATCATTTCAATGTCTGGTGTCAATCCTGGTTAACTGGACTTTTTTATTCAGGTTAGGGACAGATACAAAGGAGACAAATAGAGACTGGACCCGTGAAGATCCGGGGTTGAATAGGTCTTCAGCAACCCATACTTGCCGTAAAAGGCGACTATGCTTGTCGTAAGAGGCGACTTACGGGATCGGGTGGTCAGGCTCGCTGACTTGGTTGAAGCATGTCATCGATCCCAATTGCGTTGATCGATGCTCATGATATCAATCGCTGGATTGTCTGGTCCATACTCGATTATTTACAGACCGCCGTCATATAGCTGGAATTTTTCTAAATCAGACGTAAAACAACAAACCAACCAACCAAATAGACACTGTATGGGTAGATTGTATGGGTCTGTTGGCCTAAAGAACAAATTGTTATGATAACATGACTGGACTGCAAGTGTGTGTACCTCAAGCGGTGAAACAGTGAAACTACCATCAGACATTGATGACGCATCTTCATCAATTTCAGCTACATGACTACGACCTGTAAATAATGGAGTCTGGACCAGGCAGTCCTGTCATTAATATGGCACTGGCAGGATGGCACAATCGCCTCGAACGAATTTTGTATAATATTTATGTCAGCCTAACAGGGCTGAACTGTGGTATTCAACATGTAGGGGGTACTCAGATTGTTCTAGTGTTATTTAGGCTGTACATGCGAGACTTCTGAAGGATATAACGTCATTGTCCATCGGGCTCACGGGTCGGTGGCGGCGACTGATGTTGGAGATTTTACGAACACTTCCAGTGGGAAACGATTTTGCACCTAATTCCTGTAATCATTCAAAGCGTACAGTCGGATAATTTATCAAAGCTCTAAAAATGTGTGTTTGTTATTAACAAACGATTGCATGCTCAATCTGACTGTGACAAAAATAAACCTCCAAATTAGCTTGACGCTTTCATAGGCCCCAAGGGGAGAGGTGACAGGTTTGAAATTGCCCCTCTATATTTGTGAGGTCTCGTTAAATCTCGCGCTATTTATAGTGCAGTTGCAGGTTTATTTATATTACGGATGCCACAGTGCAGTCCGCTGGATATCATGAAATGCTTATTTGGTACGCTGATGGCAATATCTATATTTCGCCTTTTTTTTCTTGTAAGGAACAACAACATATCTAGACCTAATTAAGCTTAGGAACAAGCATGGTCATACATTCTATATGAAAATACCCGTCTACTGTACTCATACCAACACTGATATGACTCAAGAATTCTTTAACTGATGCCAAGACAAATTAAGAGGCATGCTTAGGGTGGGAGGTGGCACCCTCGGCGTTATGTTCAAAACTTTCCTTCAAGTGAGTGACCTGAGTTAGTTGTCAGCCCTGGTACAGTGTGTGAAGTTCATACATCTCGTTCCCCAAAAAGTGCTAAAAAGTTGCGTCCAACCCTACAACCTTAATCATTCAATAGACTCTGAGGTCGAGGAATAAATACAATATAATATTACTGGTTTTCGTTGAATTTGGTATCTGTATTATATTCTGCAAAGGATTGGTGCATAAGCTTTGGAGACGTGAAGATCCGGGGTAGAACAGGTCATCAGCAACCCGTGCTTGCCGTAAAAGGTGACTATGCTTTTCGTAAGAGGCGACTAACGGGATCGGGTGTACAGGCTCGCTGACTTGGTTGGTGCATGTCATCGATGCTCATGATATTAATCACTGGATTGTCTGATCCAGACTCGATTATTTACAGACCGCCGTCATAAAGCTGGAATACTAAGTGCGGCGTTAAACAACAGACCAACCAACCAACCAACATCCGCTTTGTTCATCTCAATTCTCGGGTACGGCTGGTACATTTGTCTGAGCAGAGATGCTCGCTCACACACTCACTCTCTCACTCACCCACTCACTACCTCACTCACTCATTCACTCCTTTGATGTAGGATTCTGAAGTGACGGTGTACAAGCAGATGTGGAACTCTATGAAGGATGCTGTGCCCTCGTCGTTCGTGTCCAAGGTGGATGAAGGGGTGGAGAGAGTCCGGTCATCTAAAGGAAAGTTCGCCTTCCTGCTGGAGTCAGCCATGAACGAATATTACAACCAGAGGAAGCCGTGTAACACTATGAAAGTCGGGCGGAACTTAGACTCCAAGGGCTACGGAATAGCTACAGCACTCGGCTCCGATTTAAGGTATGGCATGTCCTAAATTTAGTACTCCCTCTCGCAGTGACCAGAGCAACGTTTCACAAACCGTCGTTAGCGCTAAGACTGTCTGAGAGTTACGCCAGCCTAGGCCCCGTTCCACAAAGCGACTATTCGCATACTTTAATATAGACTTACATATACATATTTGTTGCAATTCTAAGATATTTTATGGAACGACACCCGGTTCTCTTATAGAATCATTCTCACTTACATCCATATTAATTATTTATTTTTATATTGTCCAACTTGTGTTATCAGTACATGTAAATGGGCGTGACCTGACTCACAGCTTATACGTATTTGTTTGTTTGTTTGTTTGTTTCGTAATGCAGCAATATTCAAGCTTTATCACGGCGGCTATAAAATACTTGAGTCAGGACCAGACCAACCAGTGATTAATATTATGATACGACATCAGCCAGTGGTCGAAATACGCGAATGACTGTAGGCTCGTGGCAGGTAGATCTCGAGTGGGACCCGGAGTTTCAAATGTGCATGTGTCCTTATGTCCATTTGACCCGTGAAGATATGGGGTAGAATTGGTCTTCAGCAACCCGCGCTGGCTGTAAAAGGCGACGATGCTTGTCGTAAAAGGCGACAAACGGGATCGGGTGGTCAGGCTCGCTGACTTGGTTGACGCATGTTATCGATCCCAATTGCGTGGATCGATGCTTATGATATCAATCACTGGATTGTCTGGTCCAGACTCGATTATTTACAGATCGCCGTCATAAAGCTGGAATATTGCTGAGTGCGGCGTTAAACAACAAACCAACCAACCAACATGTCCATTTATTTGTCACAATAAGCTTCAGATTTTGGGGGGATGAGGCCTGAAGAGTTTGGTCAGGGCCTGCAGCTTCAAAAGCATGTGAGTCCTTATGACAGCCAGACGATTTGAGTTTGTTTTTTCATTGATTAGGGAACAATTTCGTAAATACAGCGACAACATGAAGGATGCATTTATCAGAGTCCATGATGCGATTCCCACTATATCAAAAGCATGCCATTATGAAATCAATTATTGATGACGCCAGTTGTTCGCAAGCTATGTACGTTGTTTATAACATATGCATCAAATGAAAAGTTGCATTAATGTTTGTTTGTTTGTTGTTTAACGCCACACTCAGCAATATTCCAGCTATATGACAGCGCCCGTTAGTCGCCTCTTACAAGCATAGTCGCCTTTTACGGCAAGTATGGGTTGCTGAAGACCTATTCCACCCCAGATCTTCCCTTGTCAGCTGCATTAATGTATTATGACTAAATGACTGCAGTAACCGACGTAGTGCCATGCGATGAATCTAGAAATTTAATATTAATGTTTGATGTTAAACAACGGAGTAAACAGCTCGCTAAATGTCAACGGAGTGAAAGGCATCATGACATTCGACCCATGAAGATTCCGGGGTAGAATAGGTCTTCAGCAACCCATGCTTGCCGTAAAAGGTGACTATGCTTGTCGTAAGATGCGCCTAACGGGATCGGGTGGTCAGGCTCGCTGACTTGGTTGATGCATGTCATTGATCCCAATTGAGTGGATCGATGCTCATGATATCAATCACTGGATTGTCTGGTCCACACGCGATTATTTACAGACCGCCGTCATATAGCTGGAATATTGCTGAGTGCGGCGTTAAACAACAAACCAACCAACCAACATCATGACATTTCTCTTCCAGAGACGCTATAAATATAGCAGTGCTGGAGCTGCGTGAGGTGGGGGTCCTCCACAAGATGGAACAGAAATGGTGGTACGATAAGGGCCAGTGCGGCAAGGAAGGTGGAGGCAAGGTAATAATGGCGGATGAGGAAGCACCACAATAAATCATACATCGAAATGCCGGCTCAAATACTTGACCGAGTTCTTAATGGCGAAGAGAGTCAGCGCAGTGTTGTAGTCGATCAGCAGTCTGCCAATCCAGTGACAACTCAGACCTTTAGTGTTAATTTATGTCTTAGGATTGCCTCTGGGAACAACGCTATGAATATATTGTTGATCAGTATCACGTTGTGTATGAAATGGACATAGCTGAGAACAGCTGACTCAGAGACATATTTGTGGATGCCTTGATTGCAGTATATAGGTTCTGGAACTTTATTTGTCAGCAAACGTGTTACTTGTTCCTTGTGGTTAAGTGAAGATGCCATTTCCAGATTGCCAATGATAAATATTCATAGGAGGTCGCTTGAAATACAAACCTAAATATTCGAGTGGTATGTATTGTATATTTTCTGTACATAAGAATTGTCTGTGGAACATTGTCATTTTGGCAATCCTGGTTAACTTAAATTAAAAGGTATATATACTTTTCATTGTGGGTTCGATGTTCAATGTTAAATTTTGAAGGAGAAAAACTTATCTTATATATTAACTTATATATTATATAAACTTATATATTATCTGATACACATACGCAAATAATGTCATATGTCATATATACACGTAACATAACACATGTGAAGCTATATCAAAATTCATAAATTTCTTTTAACCTATCCCAGCAAATAAAAAGGTTTACGAAAGGAATTGTAAATAAGCGAATAAAGGAGATCAAACAAGGGAAGTTCTATTCCGAACACGTTGAAAAGGATATGCAATATTAACACTGCTTTTACGGGTTGACAGTGGACTTCCTGATGCCTGACTAATCATATCCGGGTTGTGTCAGAGAGTGACATGTGTCTGGCAGTGTTGTTTGTTAACGAGAATATAATACATGCCTGTAAAATGCCTTTAGTTCACCCTCAGCTGTAACCTGAAGTTGATTAGAGTATAAATCATCAGATTTCAGATCATAAGGAGCCCTTTGATTGAGCTTGTAGAGTTAGGGGTAGCCACCAAACGCTCCTTCAACGAACGACTGGGAGTAGGGACTGTAATAAATTGCTTTTTAGTGATATACTTTCAATCAATATTGTGCTGTGACGTGTGCAGAAAGAGAATTCCATTTCGACGTATTAAATCCACGTGTTACTTAAGGCCTTCCAGCCTTTTTATGTGACTCGATGACTATCTTTGGCTATGTACTTCGTCTTTAATGTTTCTGACATGAGTGGTCTCGTACTTTCGAATCGACTGAGAATATTACAAAGTCTAAAGGAATTTCCTTCGTCGATCGTTCTAGATACTATTAGGTTATACGTTTTCATACTGAGACGTCACGTAGACAATTGGTGTTAATGTTCGTACCGTTTCATGAAACAAAGAGTGAGTGAGTTGGATTTAACGCCGCTTTTAACATTATTCCAGTTATATCACGGCGTGTCAGCTTAATGTGGAAGAAAAGCCCGAAGTAATGCAGGTCTCAAACGTTTACCACTTCGGTGAAACCCACGAGCACGGGCATGGTGCTGACAAACCTAGAAACATAATCGGGGCAAACCGGATTCGAACCCACAATCATAGGTTTCTGGCGTGCCAAAGGGACGTCTCTGCCTTAGACGACTGGGCCACCCGTGCCCCCTCATGAAATAAAGACCAACAATTGGATGAACCTGTTTGAAATCTGTAAATTATAAAGTTTGTAAGTTTCCCGTCGAAGTAGACAACTCCTATGCTGTTCCTGCTGGTCGTAATTTAATTTCTCTAAACATATGGGGTTTTATTTTTGGAAGAGAGATTAAATTTAATTTCACCATTACCGTGAAACAGGCATGCATGTGTCCATTTTGAACGGAAGGATGGACCTTAGATAAAGCCTGTTTCCAATTTCCAATCTGACTGGCAAATAAACCATCAAAGGTCAAACAAGTTTGCATTCATTTTCTTCGGTAATGTTTGCTTTCAAAGTAACAAAGGTTTTGATATTTTTCTTTGATCTCTACAAGCGAATGTAAATGTGTTTTTGTAATTTACTTTAAGGCTAAAGAAAGAAAATGTAACCTTCCTTGTGTATGTGTACTTGTGTATGCCGCGACTGTTTAAGAATAATGTATTGTCCATTTTAGGACACAGCTACAAGCGCTCTGACACTCAGCAACGTGTCGGGTATATTCCACATCCTCATCAGCGGTTTAGTGCTGGCTATTCTGGTGGCGTTTATGGACTTCCTGATTAAGAACAAACTCCGGGGAAGATCCTTTAAGGTGCGAATCTTTGAAGTTTGGGTACTTTAGTTTTCGTTCATAATAAAAAAAGATTTCCTAAGAGAATGTCTTGAAATCTAATTATGGAAGCAATTGATTTTCCTTTGAAACAAGAAGTATTGCGATTTATTGGAGTGACTATCTCACATACAAATGTGTTGCGGATTTGACGTAGGGTTGTTGCTAGTTTTCAGGAACACCCAACGCCACTGAAAATGTATGTGCTGCGTGTAGAGTTCATTTCAATTGCCGTGAATGAATATCTATTAATTAGTTCACCGGACATTCATAGGAAGAATCTTATTGCTGTTTTAATTGTAAGTCTATATGGCAGTCACACGTATCGTATAATGAAAAAAAGTTTATTGTTTTCGCTCATAACTCTTATTCCCCGTTTGACACAGGATGTGTTGTACACACACAAAAATCCGTATTTCAGACTGGTTCTAGAATGAAAGGCACTGCGGTCGTGGAACCAAAGAAAGGGAGACAACTCACTAGAATGCCGCGATCACCGTTGGCAGAGACTGAAGAAAACGGAACGGTAGAGTTTTATTTTTGACTGTGATACTGTGTCAAAGGACCCGCCATTTAATATTCTACCGGCATGACCAGCGTCACATTGGGGCATCGTACCGTTTCCATTTTATTGCTGAAACAAATTAATGCTATAAAATATCCCCCTCCCATCCCACAAATTAGTTTGTCTCTAACACACACACACACACACACACTCACACTCACACTCACACACACTCAAACACACACACTCACACATACACACACATACACATACACAAACAAACACACATACACACACACAAACACAAGCACACATTCATAGAATATGAAATGGTCTTTACTGTCATCACAGATATAGACGCACTATATATTCAATGTTGGTATCCGATAATATATTATGTGCAACATACGCAGGTCGCTGGCAAAGGTGAATTTATTTATTTTATTTATTTTAAAAAACTGCATACTCGCTCAGTCAACCTGTGCATCAGAATTTGAAATAAAATCAAGGTTCATAGAACGCACATGGATTTCCGTTGATACACATTGTATCCGAGGTAATATATTCATGTTCGTGTTTATGTGTTTATATTAACTGTATTAATTATACGACGTCTTGAATTATTTCGCAATTAATCTACAGGTATATGCAGCTAATTTCATACTTATAGAGATCAAAGGGGCGCCAGTGGCCCATACGTCTAAGGCGCCGCAACTTGTTGTGCAGAGTTGCGTCTCTCGTTAGAATCCTTCGACCGTTGGTTGGAATCCCAGATGATGCGATTAGATTTGTCTGCGCCATACTCGAGCTCCTTTCAATAAAGAAGTAAATGTCTACGACCTGCGTCTCTTCAGGCTGTCCATATTCAAGGAGCTTGAACGACGCGATAGAACAGATCTAGAACTAGTCTTCACTGCGGTGTCAAACACAACTCACTCACAATGAGCGGACGTGAAACTAACTCTTTGCTCGATCACCAAACTGATAATTACTACAAATATGATAAACACAACATAAATCGGCATGTGGTCCCAATGCAGTGTAAACAACAGTTGATACCTATTTCCGTCTGTTTCAGTGTTCATTCAAGGACCCAACAGATCATCAGCTGATATCCTTCGATCCCCTCTCAGATGAGCCGATTCATTTATCTTGACCAGTGCGGCAGACATTGCTCAACGACAATGAGGCGAAAACAATGTCGTAAACGAATGTGATATGGACAATTGCTCGTTACAATATGTCAGACACAATAACTCGTGTGTGGCAATAGAACAAAAAATCAATAGTTATAGCGTATTTGTCATAAAGGTTTTAGTTATTGAATACATGGCCAGACACTTTGTGAGGTAAATAACAGAGACATTCATTAGTGTTTGATAACATAAATACTGTTTCAATTCAAATAAAAACATATCATGTCACGTTACTAACTTTAAATTTGGTAATATGCAGAGATTTGTGTGTGTTTTATACAAACGATTCATCATGCCTCATCATAGTTTTAAATATGAAATCTTTATCGCTGATCATACGCACATCCAGAGAGGGGGGAAGCTGCAGGGGTGGTCACTCCCACCTCTTTTATTAAACATAATATTTATTAAGGTATAAAACGCATATAACTGAATCATTTGTTGTCATAAAATAACAATTAATTGACTAAGTCTTTTTATTTGCATTCATCTTGCAAATGTTTTATTGGAAGGCTATCTCTCCCCTTTCCAAAACCTGTGCCATCTTACCCCACCCTCCAACGTCCTTTTTGTCCAAATAGCTGTATCTGCGCTTGGTACTCAACAGAACATCATAAATATAGGGCAGTTAACAACCTTCAGTGGACCTCTTTATTATGAATTTGATGACCTTAAGAGTATTCTTATTCTTAGTGTCAATTGAAATAAAAGTTGTTTATTTTAAAAACGGATCCAAGTATTACAGAATAGAATAGTATAATAGTTAAACGTCACTGGTGGTGATTTTACTTTGTTTTGTTACGTTCAACCTTTGCAATTGGCTATGCAGTCTCACCATAGATATATCGGTCGGTCACAAGAAGATTATGTCCTCAGTATGATTGTAGTAAGGGCCGACTAAGAAGAGGATCGGATGGTTACAATGTCTCACATGTGATCGTGATCTGACAGTGATGTTCATTCTATCGACCACTTGTTTGTCGTGTTCAATTAATTGCGTGATGTAGGTGTATGTTGTCGGATATGGTCTAAAACAATGTCCGCTTTGTCACCTGTAACCGACGATCTTATATCAGTCGCCACGCTGTGTTCCCTCACAACGAAAATAAGATTGACTTTGAATTTGTTTTTGTACATATCCAAATATTTATTAGAATGTATGATATGTATATTATTTAGAAACGGTGTCGTTGTGAAATGTACATATACGATTAACATATCAGTATCTCGTGCAATAGAGCTGCCCCCCCCCCCCCCAAAAAAAATAAATAAATAAAAACAACCCTTAACGGAGGATTAAAAAAACTCAAACTCCCATCACTGACTTTACAAAAATATCACACACACCCCAATTCTTGAATATGCTGTATTGGCCTCTGGCTCAGAGCGAAGAGATAGCATGGTGGTTAAAGCGTTCTCCCGATTACAGTGTGTGAAGCCCACGCTGGTGTCCCTGCCGTTTCATTGCTGCTGTTTTGATTAAAGCGGCCTAAAACCATGAATGCTTATTACGTCAATTCCTTTTATTTCTACTCATGAAAAGAAACACTTCACAGAAAGGGAGACTCAAATTTATTTTTAAAAACCGATTCAACCTTATATAGATTGAAGATTGAAGAACTTATTCGAGCAAATTCCGCAGACTCTTTTTTATGCTTAGTCAACAGAAAAAACCCGAAATATTTTAATGTGAACAGCTGGCTAAACATGTACAAACAACAGTTAAGAAAACCAATATTTCTCGGGTAATATGAGAATAGCGTGTCTGAGCTGAACTTGCAGATATTGCCTTGACATTGCGTGTATAATAAGTATTCAACGAAAAGTAAAAAGTTGAATGCAAATTTGTGAAAATGTTGGTACCAGCAGATTTGTTTTGGGAGGAATTAATGCACTTTTGATGTGACCCTTGTTGTACACCAGACTCTACAAGCTATTGAGAGTCCTGACTGGTTTGATTATGCCCACATGTAAGTGAAATGAGTGACTGTCTCGCGTGATTGGTGCAAAAGATCCCCGAACAAACCATTGGACCAGATGGGTTTTTTAATCATCCATATTTCCTATCAGGTCTGGATATATGTAATATGGATACCATGTACCCCTTTGTTGTTATCCGAATGCAGGCAAATTACAATCATAAAAGAAGAAACGATTTTTTCATATCACCAAAATCAGTTTTGGACAATTTTCCTGCAACTTAAAAACGATCAGTTTTATATTTAAGTGGCGATAAAACATTCAGGCTATTCTGCAGAGGCATACTAAAACCGGGAACCCTTCTATCCAATATTGGTTATCGTTGCATTTATTGCCCGAATACATCCTTAAAATTGACATTTGTCTTCCAAGATAAGCATTTACTATCCTAAAAGTGACACGTGTTCGATAAAAACGACTTTTCCGAAGCCAATGTTCCAGTGAAGGTCAGTCTTCTTGAAACTAGTATCTCATTTTGTATCTTCCTGTCATTGCCTGTCGAATATAGGGGTCCGGGAAGCCAATCCTCCGTCTTAATAGCCTTTCACTGTACTTGTTCTAGAACACAACATCCCTGACATATTGACCTGATCATTCGATTTATTCGGGGCAGAATATCATATATCCATACGCCTAAATTTGACATCAACCGAGATTTGGGTTCTGTCAAAGGACGAGACTGAAGTTCGTTTCATAAATCATAATCAGACATACAAGCGCTTTTCTTAACTATCCGCAGACACGATATATAGGATGTGCCCTTGGTGTTATAATGTTAGTCCCTGTTAATTCAAACTCCGATTACTCGATGTAAAGGAAAAAGATGTACCTTCAAGGTCCTGAAAAATTCTTTTAAGATGTGACCCTCTTATTTCAAAGTCGGATACGTCAATACATCGCATAAACTGTTATTTATGCTAAGTCAGCGGATGAAAAAAGGTATCCGTTGGGGTCTTCTAAAAACATTATATTTAAAACAAATACGTCGTCGACGGTGCTCTCAAGACTTGGATATTAAACTTTAGTAACTTAACCACCATTAAGTCCTCGGCTTCCAAAAATGTTTCAGGTAACCAACCTTTGACCACTACTGTTGTTGGTGATATGTTCACTGAACGTCGTGAGCGTTTCTCCAACTCCGAATATATCGATATAGCCCATAGACTTCGAATTAAGAAGATTTGCTTTTAATAAGTTAGGTCACCTCTACATGTTTTGGGGATTTTTTTAATTTCATATTTATCAATGAAGATTTCAGCGTCTGCAAACTGATATGTGTATGAATATAGTATTGTACTGTCATCATTGTTAGTATCAACCATTACACATGTCCAAATAATTTTCTTTACTTTTAATGTTGTTGACTGTGTCTTCTAAAGAACAAAACATACTACCAACCTTTTGATAAGGGTATGCCTATTTATCTTTAACTTTTTATTTATTGGTGTATGTAAATATCAAATATTACTACGCCCATCAAAGGTTAAACAGGATAACTACATCACATTTCTCACCATCATATCACGCCTCTGTATAGGGATCTATTCCAGATCGAACCATTTACCATTGGCACTGACTACTACTCTATTAAGCCTTTATAGACGGGTCTTTCAACCTGTAATTTAGTGCTACGGCGAACAAGGACTGGACAAGTGCCATAATTGCATAGCCCTTGGGATCAACAACAGAGCAGCGGTGAGTCGACAGCGGAATTACAGCCACTATTGACCATCGGCTTCTCTGGGAGCGCCATGGCCACTTCATCAGCGACCAGAACAGTCTTCATCACCTTCCATTGTTGCACGCTATGCTCAACTGTCACGGACACGCTGTTGAAAGCCCTTGTGGGTCCTTTTCCCATTGAAACATGGCTTCCACGGGGAAGTGGGGTCTGTTAGGGAAAAAGGGTATTGCTCTGCTCGAAGTTGCTAAAGTACATAATGCTTCAAAGCTGTGATGTTCTTGCTCTGGGGACCAGTTGACAGATCATTGAGTCTTGTGTACCAAGTAATTCTTAATTCTAGTGTGTTTTGTAACATCGAAGATCAAAGTGAAGGGTATTTTATTTGAAATGGGTGTAAATATTTTAGTGAAACAAATGTGAATGAATCTATTTTTGGCAGATTTTACGAGGTATGAGTTAGATACAACAGGGAATTAGTATGTGGTGTATATAATTTGTAATATTTCTCCATCTATTAATGTCGATAATATAATTAATATTCAGTGTCGCTTATCGGAATATTAAATACTGTCACTTTATTTATATGTAAATATGATCACGATCTTTACTTCACATACTGCGTCCCTGAGTCATACCAGGATCAGCCGATCATTGCTTCCTATTGGTTCGCCCCAGTTATGAGCCTTTTTTTATCTGCACCATACCTCTGCTCGTTCTCTTAAACAAAAGATCCGTGAAGATCTGGAGTATAATAGCTCTTCAGCAACCCATGCTTGCCCTAAAAGGCGACTATGCTTGTCGTAAGAGGCGCCTAACGGGATCGGGTGGTCAGATTCGCTGACGTGGTTGATGCATGTCATCGATCCCAATTGCGTGGATCGATGCTCATGATATCAATCGCAGGATTGTCTGGTCCAGACCCGATTATTTACAGACCGACGTCATATAGCTGGAATATTGCTGAGTGCGGCGTACAACAACAAACCAACCAACCAACCATCTCTTAAACAAAGAGGTGGCCGTCTTTGACATGTATCACCTTGTGTGTGACATGAGTTCTGATACAATTGAAATAATGTTCAAAGCAGTGTTAAAACCAACTCCCAAATGCACCCATATCTCCAGGATTGACCAACACCATATTCGCATTCCACAAATATGTCTATATTTGGGGAATGGTTGGTCAACCCGTCTAAGCTGCCGCTTTTCGCTGAGCGGAGGTCTTGCAAGAAACATATGATCGGGAGTTCGAATCCCACATTCGCCCTGATCAAACTGTTGATATGCCAGCTCCATCCGAGTTCCTTGGTTTGACTGTAATTCGACATGCTTCACTTGGTCTTACCTTACACAGTAAGCAGAAATGCCGCAATATAACTGAAATACTGTTCATAGGCATTAAACACAATTCACTCTTTCACACGCTCACGCTTAGCTTAAGCATATTATCTCATCATCTCATATCACAAGCTAATGTTGATAATTCACACTTTTCTATGCAATATGTATATGTATTCACTGTATCGTAAAATGTATTTTACTGTGAATGAATATGTCAGTTTCAATGTTACACAATGTCCGTGTGGCTTCCTTGTCAGAAGAACCAACGTACAGTAAACTACGGTTATAACGAACTCAAAGGGACCACTATTTTTTGTTCGTTATAACCGTAGTTCGTTATAAGCATATATACTAGTATATACTGTAACAGCATATATACAGCACATGGAGGGGAACAAAAAGAGTTCGTTATATCCGCCAGTTCGTTATAAGCGTGTTTGTTATAAACGTAGTTTACTGTACTTCGGTAGTCATACAATGTCATTTACATATATGATTCCTTTTTTCTTCGATTTTGAAAATAAATGCTTTCAGTTAAATTTGAATGTGCGATTCTCTTATTTCGTCACAAGGAACAATTGAAATACGATAATCTGGTCAAGAAATGAACATGTCCATACCACGTTTAATAACCATTCCTATTAAAATAAGCAAGCAAAAAAATCATACAGACATTTGTGATAAATCTTGAATTGTAATTATCGACTGTGATATAGAGACCTCACCCAAGTGTCTTTTGTGATCAGTTGTGTCACCACGAGTCGATAAAGGTATAAACGTCCGAAGCTTTTACTTTTATCTACGAATGTTGATATATTTGATGTCATAAAACACGAGAGTGAGAGTCTATTAACATCATTCGTCCGACTTTTCATTGAGTAAACAGTAATAACAAGTGTCTTGGTTGTAAAATGTTTTGTTTGTTTGTTGTTTAACGCCGCACACAGCAATATTCGAGCTATATGACGGCGGTCTGTAAATAGTCGATTCTCAACTATCCAGGGATTGACATCATGAGCATCGTTCCACGCAATTGGGATACGATGACATGCATCAACCAAGTCAGCAAGCCTGACCACCCGATCCTGTCAGTAGCCTCTTACGACATTATTCAAGCATAGTCGCCCGTGTAAAATGTACCAGCTCGAGCGCCAGAGAGATTAGTGATGTTATTTGATTGTGACGTCATGGTAACCGATGTGGTCACAATGGTCTGTAAAGCGATATCCTTT